ACATCCTAGGGTTAGAGCTTAGTGTAGGGTTGTTTTTTTTATATATAACCTAGTGTCAGGAATATAACAGTTTGTTTAAGAGCAGTGAGATATCTGCACCTTCCAATGACACCTGGAGTGGTTTTACGGTCCAAGCAACTGAGGGACTGAATTGGGCTCCGTCTGGGGGATCCGACCATGGAGCAGGATTTGTAGCCAAGATCAGACCCAACAAAGCCACTTCTGTCTTGCTCCTTGGGGCAGGATGACACCAGGAGGTGCAGATCATTTTGGTGATTGGGAAGACAGCCAAGGGGGCAAGAAAGGTCAGAATTACACCTGTAAGGGTAAAATGTGACCTGCTCAAACGGAACGTGTGAGCAGGGGCAGGAAACCTACAGGCTCATTGGAAGCGTCGGAGAGGATGTAAACCCTGGAGTAGCCAGCCAGTGGGGAAACAGGGGAGGGAACTTTGCTTCGAGAACAGGGAATAGAAACGGTTCTTCAGCTGCCTATGGGTGTGTCTGCTTGTTTAGGTCACCCGTTCTGGGCAGAGTTTTAATAAACTGTGCTTGGCTGCAGGATGCGTTCGGGCCTGTTCCTTGTTCCACAGCCGTTTCTCACACTGGGCACGACAAAAAGCTGCAAGAAGAGAGCCTGCTCTAGCTCCCTGCTCATGTCCCGCCCTTCCCATCAAGAAAGCATTTGGCTCCTGGAGCTCTTGCCCTTTCAGCACCCAGGGGATCCGAGGAAGAGGCAACATGCAAGGCAGTGGTGCAGCCAGGCTGCTGCCTGGGGTTGCTGTGGTTCCACAGGGCCAGGCTCATTTCTGGTACCGACAGGAGGAGCTGGGGAGAGGGTCTTCAGGACCCAGAGCTCCCCAGCAGGGGTGGCCCGGAGAGGGCTCAGGACTCCCTCCCATTTCCTGCCCTGCCCTATGATAGCCAGGAGCAACACACAGCTGCCCATTGATGCAGAGAGGCCTTTTGCCCAACAGCCCATGAGCACTGGGCTTGACAAGCCTAAAAGCCAGGACAGGGTCAGGACAGGCCTGGTCATTCCCGAGGGGCCCAAAGAAGCCCCCTGTTGGCACAGAGGGCATGACCTCTTCCCTGCCCTGCCCTGTGGAACAGCTTTGGGGCTCCCCTTCCTGGCCGGACACGACACGGCTGTTTTGTGGGGCTTGCCAAAGCGTGTGGCTGCCCTGCATGGCTGGGATTCCTCTTCATCTCTGGAGGGCTGGGAAGGAACGCCCAGGGACAATCGAGATCAGTCAGAAAGAAGAGACTAAGATGGGGGGCCAGCAAGAACCACCACAGCCTCGGCCAAGAGAGCTTGGGGTGGAAAAACGAGCCCCCG